TATATATATATATATATATATGTTGTATATATAGAAAATAAATTTAAGTCGATGACCTCTCTCTCGTCGACAGGTAACTAATTGTAAAATAATGCAAAATACGCGTTAAAATTTGCGTACATTGGTGATGCAGAAAATCAAGAGCGATAATGTGGCGAAGAACAGAGAAGAAAAAGTACTTACAATTAGACGGCGATTTTAATGTTTGATATCACTACTGTAAGCTATCTATATACATGATATACCGTACAAAAGCTTGATGCAACGTCACAGATGTTGCTGTAATATTGCTGAAATGTGCTTGTAGATAGAAAAATTATATGTGATGATTTTTTACAAAGTTATTGAATTTTTTTTGTATAAAATTTTATTGTTTAAAAAATTTTTCTAAAATGTTTTTTAACTTCGAAACTAAAAGGCTTACGAAAAAGATAAAAGAGGAAAAATGTTTATCATAATAGTAATAAATTTAATTAATTTGATATATTAACTACATTTATAGGCGAGCGCAAAAAGAGACAAGAAGGGTGCTTATCACCCTTCTCCAATTTTGGCAAGAAGGAACAATTATCCAGCAAACACAGATAACTGTTATACATATATGTAAATATAAAAAATAAAACTAAAAAAACTTGAAATTATAAACGCAATCAAAACAGAGCATACAGCCACAACGCCAAATAGTATTTGCAAAAGTCGATTTATTCAATTACATTAAACATGAAATTAAACGTTTCGGTCACTATTTTTGATTATTATCAGTAATAATATACCTAATAGAAAATTCTTACAATTACAAATTTATATCTCGTGATGTAGTCTTCTTAATTACAAAACAGATTTTTTACAAAAAAGTAAATTGTCTAATACGCTTTTTATAAAATTATGTCTCGCTCTATATTCTTCGAAGGAATTTTAATTTGATTCGTCTTGATTTTCTAACGATATTCCAACACATTATATGAAGAAGATCTTTTGTTCATGAAAGGTTGTGTGCAATTATACAACTTCCCAATGCTATTAACAGATAGTTACTATATAACTTTTAATGTATTAATTAACGGAGTAATATAAGTTCAAAAAAAGAAAACATACCTATATTTGTACACGCAATATTTCTAACAATATTCCAAAATTTATTATAAGAAGAAGACCTTCTATTCTCAAAGATTGTGTGCAAATATAAAGCTTCCCAATGCTGTTAAAAGATAGTTACTATATAACTTATACTTTACAAATTAAAAACGTAATATAAGTTCAAAAAACATACCTATATTTGCAATAGTAATATTCGTGTAATCTCACAAAAATATGTCAAGTTGGATTATGGAAAGAGAACCTTCTTGCTTAATATGTGAAAATAGACAGAGGTCGGAGTTAGTAAAGATTCGCATATTTATGTATATCATTTGGAAGGAGAAGAAAGTTATTTGGAGAAGTAGATATGCTTACAAGTAACACTAGGGAAGTGATAATCACCGATTATT